TCCACCCACCTCAGCCTCCCAAAGTGTTGGGATTATAGGTGTGAGTCACCGCATCCAGCCCTCTTCTGCTCTTCTAACAAAGCAGCTAACTGGCCAGTCTGGGGCTAGATCTAGGCACAGAAGTGATGCTATCCATAACGTGCTTGCCAAGTGCAGCTCTGGGAAGATAGTTCCAACAGAATCACTGTCCCCTCTTCTGACTTTTGCAAGGACATCCTCCAGTCTCACCCAGAGATTCTCCTCACATTAACCTTTGAGTTTCCAAGCAATTCCCCTGGAAGCTAGATAGAACCAGGGCAGCCAGGCTGTGCATCTGCTGGTAAGATGCCACTGGGCTAGAAAGCTCATATGTTGACTTCAGTGGGACCACCAAAAATGAGGTCAACAAGGCTATGAATTGCTGCGGTTGCCTCATCTTACTCTTTTCTTCTCAAAGCCTCATCCCAGGAGTATTGTACCTATGGTGAGCCAGGCAGCAGTTGCCACATTGTGCACTCTCAAGATGCTTTGTAGGTTGGTATACGGAGACCCATTTTTCAGATGCGGAAACAGACTCAGAAAAGCTGGTAAATATCCTAAGATGACACAACTACTGAGAGGTAGTGGGTTTTGAGCCCAAGTCTATCTGCTGACTCTGAAGCCTGCCCCCTTCCCAGGTGGATGCCATGGTGCAGGCTCGATATCTAATTCCAGAGAAACTGCACAAACTTCCTCTCCCGTATTCTAGGAGAGGATGTCTGGCTTTCCCTCCTTTCTTTTAGTCTGGGGAGGGTTCTGGAGAGATTCAGACGGAGAGCGTTGGGTATGAGGCAGAGGAAGGAGGAGACAGATTCTGGATCTAGTGGCTTCTCAGGGGTCTTCACTTTGCTGATTTTCTCCACCAACGGAGAGGCCAGTTCTGTGATGGGCTGGAGACCACTTGTACTCAGTATAACATGATCCTGATATCCTCCAGGGACCTACATCCCCATATTGTTAAAAGGGTCTTCTGTATTGCCAGTCCCAGTCCTTCAAAAAAGTCCTGGGGCCTCAGGAGGAAGCTTAGCAAAGGTGAGAGTGTTTCCTTAGAACGTGATGGAAAGGAATGGAGCTCCATGATGGTCAGCGCCAAGTGACTGGGTCAGAGCAGAGCAGAGAAGGAAGAACCACCACCTCCACCCTCCAGCAGGGTCAGTGAGAGAAAATCTGCCTCCTATATTGAACTGGAAATGGAACTGTGTGTAAGGAGGGGCAGGTGTGTACATGTGCTTAAGGTGGTCTGGGGGCAGGGGATGACTTGGTGATGTGAATTTGGCAGCGACTTGGAAAGGTATGTGTCAGAGATGATTTGCCTGTGTGTGTGTGTGTTTGTGTGTGTGTTGGGGTGAGGGTTGCACACATGTATGTGTAGTCAGGGTGTAATACCAATTCTTCTCGGTGGGTTGTAACCCTCAGTCAGTCCAAGCCCAGCTTTTGCTCATGGTCACACATACAAAAATGCAATTAACTTTTAGGGGGAGTAAGTCTAAAATACTAGCGAATCTCTCAACATGTCAGAGCTATAGGGTCCAGTGCTCACCATAGTAACAGCTTTTTCCTGTTCAAAACATGTATTGTTGGATTCCCAAAGGCTGGTCCGGGACCAGCAGAACAGGGAGAATTGGTCCACTGATTGCTGCATATATACTGTTGGACACTCCGGTGATGGGCACACACTGTTATTTATGTGTGCTCCCCCCACCTTATCTTTCATGATGTCAGCACAACACTTCCAATTGATTACTTCCTGCCACAGTTTTGGCTTTGAATTGTCCTTTGTTTTATGAATAATATTCTGAGGAGTTGGCAGGTTTTCTTCTAACATCCTTACTTGGCAAAATAAAAAATGACCAATCCCATGTTTCGCCAATTGTTTGGAAATTCTACTAATCCAGAAGTCCTAATTTAAACTCTCCTGTTGCTATCCCATTTAGGGGGAGGAGAAGAGTAGGGAAATGGAGTCAGGGAGATTGCATGCCACTCGCCCTTCTGAATCAGTGGGAACCTGTTATCTGGTAACGGAGGTAGTGGATGTTTTTTCCTTCAAAGGAATTCCTGTCTTCTTGATAGGTGAAGGGGGTGCCCAGTTGTCCAAATCCATCTTTGCTAACGGGATCTGTTGTTTTTATATGCCTTGGCACAGAATGCAAGAGAACAGCCTGAAATCTTAATGTATGCTTACAAAAGCGGTATACGCATAAACCAGCAGCATCAAACCTTTACAGGAATCCAGGGATCCATAAAGGAGACGGGCAAGGGAGAGAGCTGATTCTTCCCACACATACATCCTGAGCCTCCAAGTTTGTTTATCCATAATTGCTATGCAAGTATAAATTAGAACAACAAATGCATCCTGCCTGGCAGTGGTGACACCAACCCTGTAAATAATTATAATTTAATCTTATAGCAAAGAGTTCTGAATGACTCCCCTAACAATTTCCTCTGCTTAATTCCTTCCTCACTGAGTGACTTAATAGGAAAAGGAACTCTTTCAGATTTGTTTCACTCCAAAAGTTTGGACAATGTGTAGACTCACACCTGGAGGGCAGAAGCTATAGGAGACCATTTGGCCCGCGGATGAACAAGTGAGTGGAAAAGGCCTTGGGACTGGAAGAGAGGGAACTGGCAAGGATATTCATCTTGGCACCTGTTTATAGAAGTGAAAACCTGGGAACCACCTAACAAGAGGTCTGATGAGTAAACTATGCTACAGACTTAAGGGAATGCTACATAGCCTGGAAAACCCATGACAGATATCACATGTTAATAGCATAATAGTATGCTGTCATGGCTTGGAAGACAGGCTTTAGTATCAAACTAACCTGGGGTTGAATCCCAGCTCTGCTCCTTACTCACCAGTGTAATCTCAAGCTGGTAGTATAAACTCTCTGGGCCTCATTTTCCTCTTCTGTAAAAGGAGGAAAACTATGCTACATATTCGTAGAATTTTTATAAAGATGAAATGAAATTACAGCTCTAAAGAACTTATAACCTGTCTGGCACATATTGGTAGTAAAGGGTCAACAAATGATATTACTATCAGACCTTGTATATTTTGGAGGCATCTGTGATGGTACATGAAAAAATTCCCTGACACAATGATTAGCTAAAAATATATAACTACAGATATTTTTTGTAACATTAAAATATATATAAATAGCCAGCTAGCTTGACCTAGGCCAAGAAAATAGGTCAAGGGGGAGTACATCAAAATTTTAATAATTTGAATTTTTCCATACCTTTGTCGATTTTCCATGTTTTCTACAAGGAGCATATGCATTACATTTACAATCAGTAAACAGGTATTTTACAAAATGAGGCAGAGGTCCAAGGGTCTTCACACTGGGCAGGTCATCAGGATTCCAGTTGAATGAAGACTCACCTAAACCTTCAACCCAACTCCTAGCTTAAAATCACCAGCTTTTGCTCTTGGACTAGTTTATAGACTGTCACCCCCACAGAGCAGGTTGTCCTCGTTTAGCTGTGCTTCTCTCAGCCCTCTGACCAGGGTAGGTAATGACCTGGCCAGTTTCCTGTGACAAGCTAGTGGTGACACCAGGGTCTTCTGAATCCCATGTTGGCTCACCTTCCATTGCACCAGGAAACTTGAGTTTTCTGGTTACACTAGTTCCCAAATCTGAGCCTATATTTGGGAAGAATCCATTCCCCCTTTATCCCTCTTAAATATTTAATAGTCACACTTGGCTCCTACCATGGTTTGTCTGATTTTCTTACCTAATAGACAATGAGCTCCTTAAAAAACCATGTCTCACTCAACTGGTGTTCCTACCACCATGAAACCTGGCACAGGGAAGGTGTGCAATAAATGCGCCCCATTCCCCTCCTTTTCTCCTCCCCCTCCCATCTTCCTCCTCCCTACTCCCACTGACTGCCACGTCTCTGTCTTCTCTGACTCTTGCAGACACCCACTTTCTGCTCTGCTCAGAATCCTCAGTGACACCTCCTCCCACCCACTCCTATCCGCTCCGTCCATCCACTCTTGGAGCGTGGCCCCACCAGCCTCGGCCTGGCCTAGCCCTGCACCCAGGGCCTCCACCAGAACTGCTATTCCCACCAAGGCGCCCCCTGGGAGCCAACGCCGCGATGCCCGCCTGACGCCAGGAAGTGGAATCCCCACCTTCAGCTGACACCATGCAGCAACTAAGGCTCCAATGATGCCCCATCCTTGCCTGAAGTACACCTGGACATATCCTTCTATTGGCTCCTGATGTGCTAACAAAGGTCCTCCTGATAACACAGCCACAATGACAATACAAGAGAGTGTTCCAAATGCCACAACACCACTTGTGATGCTTGTCACCCAAACAGGAAGCCAGATACTTCCTTAAGCCATGCTCAGTTTGAGCACATCCTGCGAGCCCAAGTCTGGGAGACAAGACACGATGGCTGTAAATCTTCAATAACTCATATCCTCCCTAACCCATCAACAACCAAGACTCTCCACGGAGCACACTACAGAAGAGCCTGCACTTTTTAGCCCTTCAGACACCGAGACATAATGCCTTTCTGACGTCTCAGGACCCCTGGAGTGGGAAGAATTAAGACTAAAAATGTTCTTGTGTCAGCAATGGTCACTTATGGTTCTAGTCCCTTTTTGGATGCTATGCATATGTCTTCCAGAAATGGAACAATATTTCAATCATTTTACTAGACCCTGTCCACATCCTGAGACCAGAACATTTTTAGTGTTAATGCAAGTTATTCAACCAAGACCCATCATAAAATTCTCCAGCAAGAACATGTTTCAAATCAGATATCGAAATCACTATAAAAATTATCCCAGCTCTAAAAATATGTAGTGCTTTTTCATTAGGATGAGATGAAAGGACTGTAACAGTAGGTATACGGAAGAGGCTAAGAGACCTCTGGCTGTGAGTCCAGGCACTGAGGAGACTGTAAGCATCCTAGTAATTCACAGTTGCAGAGAATAGGGTAGGAAATGAAGGGGATGTTGTGCTTACCAGAGGGAGGAGCCTTCCGTCCCAGTGACTTCCAGAAAGTCGTAACCATCCTCCAGCTGGAAGTCAATAAAGACCAAGGCGATGGTGTCTCCCAGCTCAGCCAGGATGGTCCATGTGCAGTCGGCATTGTTATGGTACTCCGAGGGGAAGTGGGGGCTGGAGATGATGCCACTCTGGCCCCGCAGGGTCCCACCACAGGCATCATCAGCTGTGGGCACAGAGACAAGAGGCTCACATGAGTAGTCTGGTTTTCAAGCCCCTAGCACTCACCATGGGCTTTACCTGCAGTACATCCTTCTGTCTCCCAAGAGTACAATTCACAGTTTGTGGACATAGATAAAGCAGCAAATGACTCTGTTTGGATGAGTCCATCTGAGAAGCCTTAACAGAGGAAGTGTCATTATAGCTGGGTTTTGATGAATGAGTAGGAGTTCACTAGATAGAGAAGAAAGGGAAGGACATTTCAGGGAAGAAGGAACTAAATGGTCATAAGCAGAGAAATATGAATGTGCAAGGCATGTCTAAGATAAACAGCTCTAGATGGCTCATCACAGGGTAAAAAAGAGGAATAATACAAGATAGTAATGGCATGTAGGAGAAGTCACAAGGCAGAGAGCACTGAGCCAAAAAGATTTGGAGACAGGGGAGTGCATTGGAAAGGAAATGGATTTTAGGGTAAGAAAGGTCTAGATTTGAATTTAGGCTCCACAATTTCCCAGTCATCTGCATAACTTTGGGAAATTTATTTTTTTAAGCCTCAGTTTGCTTCTCTGTTGTGATAACTGAATTAGATAGTTAATGTGACAGTAACTAGTATTAGCCAGTGACTGACATGTGGTAGATGCTAATGCAAAGTTCTCCTTTTTCCTTCCATTTCATCTTAAGGATCAAAGGCAGTGAAGAAGTATGATTAAACTTGCATTTTAGAAAGAACATTCGCTATGGTATAAAGGAGGTCTGAGTCAGGGAAGCACATGGGATGCTCTTGGTATCACCAAAGTCACCAAAGTCCAGGTGAGGCTGGATGAGATCGAGCTAAGGTCGTGTGGAGGGTGGGAAAGGATTTATTTGAGAGATATTTAGGAAGGAGAATCTCCAGGAATCAGCAACTAGGAGGTATAAAATCCATGTTGCTGGTATAAACATCTGGATGGATGAAAGGTGCTATTTCTTGAGGCAGAAAACCCAGGAAGGGAGCTCCTTGTGGTATGGAAGGCAACCAGGAGTTCAGTTTTGGACATGTAGAAGTGGGTATGTCTGTGAGGCCTCCAATGGTGAGATCAGATTAACAGATCTATAGGAGCCATCTGGGCTAGAGATAAAAGTGATCTTGTTTAGCAGTTCTGAACTACTCTTATTAATGTTCTTTACAGGGTCAAGACAATCATGAGCCACTCATAGCATTTCTCACTGCTAACTTCTAAGTTTGTATGAGTGCAGAAATGTAAGAAATACACCTACTCTCCCAGAGTGGGTGCTTATGAAGGTTTCCCTCCTACACCCATTAACTGAGCACCTACTGTGGGCCAAATACTGGGTAGGGCCAGCACTACAATGTGAAAAGCTTGATTTCTTCTCTGCTCTCAAGTTCTTCTGAGAGAGGAGGTGGGCAGGCAAGCCAGCAATGGCAACACAGAATAGTTATGACGGGGATGCTCAAGAAGCAGTGATAGCACATGGGTAGGAAGGGCTTTATGGTAGAGACAGAATTTGTATTAATATTCATTCACTCATTCATTCCTTCATTCACTCAACAAATGCTAACTGAGCACCTACTATGTGTCAGCCACTGTTCTAGGTGAAGGGCTTTATGGTAGAGACAGAATTTGTATTAATATTCATTCACTCATTCATTCCTTCATTCACTCAACAAATGCTAACTGAGCACCTACTATGTGTCAGCCACTGTTCTAGGTGCTGGGGATTCAGCTGTGAATAAAACAAAAATTCCTATCCTCCCAGAGGTTACATTCTGATCAGAAGGATAAAGACAACTCCAAGATAAATAATTAACTCTATGGTAAATGAAGTGGTAAGTGCAGAGGAAAATGGGGTGTCTGGTGTTGGAAGTGGGGGTATGGACATTTCAGAAAGGGTGGTCAGGAAAGACCCCACTGAGAAGTTGACATTTGAACCAAGACTTGAAGGAATGAGAGAGGGAGTCACATGGTTATCTGGGGGAAGAGCATTCACAGCAGATGGAACAGCAAATGCAAAGGCCACAGGGTGCAGAGGCCTGACACCATTGAAGAGCATCAAGAGACCGAAGGGCTGGGTGCGGTGGTTCACGCCTGTAATCCCAGCACTTTGGGAGGCCGAAGCGGGTGGATCAACTGAGGTCAGGAGTTTGAGACCAGCTAGGCCAACATGATGAAACCCTATCTCTACTAAAAATACAAAAAAAAAAAAAAAAAATTAGCTGGGCATGGTGGCGTGCACCTGTAGTCCCAGCTACTCAGGAGGCCGAGGCAGAAGAATCATTTGAACCCAGGAGGTGGAGGTTGCAGTGAGCCGAGATTGTGCCATTGCACTTCAGCCTGGGGAATAAGAGAGAAACTCCATCTAAAAAGATGTATATATATATATATATCTAGAGAGAGAGAGAGAGAGAGAGACCCAAGGGGCTGGAATGCAGGAGGAAGAAGGAAAGTGGCAGGGGATGAGGTTAGTAGAGGCAGGGCTTCCGAGTTAAGAGGCAGGGCGACCTGAGAGGCCAGTGTAAGGATGTGGACTTTTACTCAGAATGAGTTGAGAAGCCAGTGGAGGGTTCTGGGCTAAGGATGATATGATGTCATTTGTGTATTAACAGGATCCCTTGGGATGCCAGGTAGATAGCAGACCAAAGAGGGCAAAGGAAGAAGCTGGGGGCCTCTTGAAGCTACCACGATAATCCAGTGAGAGGCGATGGTGGCTTAGACCAGGTGGTAACAGTGAGACATAGTCAGAGTCTGGCTTCGTTTCCAACACTGAGCTGGCAGCATACATCAGCTGAGGGCTGCCTGCCTGGTAAACCTCAGGGGAGAGGGTGTTTTAGGCAGAAAAACAGCAAGGACAGTTGAAGTTGGGGATCGTGGCATATTTAGGGACTTATTAGGCAGGACCATCTGAACGGAAAGGGACATGCAGAGATGACAGAGCTGGGCTGGGCAGGATGGCAAGAGCTGGACTGTGAAGGTCCTTGAATGCCAAGTAGAGGAGCTGAGGTTCTATTCTCCTCCCCTCTTCCTGCTTTGCTAACCCCAACCCAGCTGCCCAGGCCCCAGGAAGCAGGAATGGGGAGAAGGTAGGCAAGATTGGCCTTGCTTGGCTTTAAATCCAGTTTAGTGGTGCTGTTGATTTGTTTTATCAAGTTGCACAGTATTTCTGCCTTGAGTATCTCTCTGGCAGGAGACTATGATGTCTGACATCTGAGGCAGAGTTTGTCTCCTTCTGATGTAAATAAATTCACCGTGAACATTACCAGGGAGATAAGCCACAGGAGCCAGCCAACAAACGAGAGATTTGTCAATGTTGTTCCCAGCAAGCATTGGGCCCACTGGTTCCCGACAGTCCTGTCACTGGCGCTCACTACACCAGGTAGAACTGTCTTCAGCCCTGGGCACAATGGCTGCGTCTCGACTGTACTGGGGAAAGGGATCATGGTGAAGGAAGGGCCTTTTACCCCGAACTTTCAAAAAGGTGTAGGAGTGTGCTCGAAGGGAAGAAATAGAGAGGTTCCAGGCAGAGCAAACAGGCCCTCAGAGGCAAGAAGGCCTGGAAGGGCACGCTGCTTGGGTGAAGGCCTTGATGGGGCTGCCGAGGTGTTTGGACTTTCCTCTGCAGGTGCAGGGGAGTCATGGTAGGTGTGGAGAGGAGGGTTTTCACCACGAAGTACAAGTCCAGACCTATTTTAGAAAGATGATTTGGTCCCGTAGTAATGGATGAATGATATGGTTTGGTGTCCGAGGAAGGTGGCCGGTGGGGAGACCAGAGACAGAGAACGAAGAAGAGGTTGTTCCCATCATCAAAGCTGCAGCTAGGGAGGAAGGAAAGAGAAGCAGCAGGAAGCGATTTAGGAGGCAGGCTGTGGAGGAATGAGAGGGTGAGGTCTCCAACAGAAAATGGATGGTGAAGGAGAGAGCGGAGACAGGGACGCTAGAGGAGACGCAGCTCTGCAGGAAGAGTGATGGCCCTTCCTCCCCTGCTCTTCCCTACTCCCATGTTGAGTGTGAGATCCTGGGGAATAAACAGATGGGGATACCTATGGGTCTGAGATCCCAAAGACTGTGAGGCAGGGAATCAGCAGGACAAAGAGGGAACCTCCCACCACAGGAGTAGAGAAGGCTGAGGACTGAACAGACATGTATGGAGCAGGCAGAAGCAAAGATACCTGAAAGAAGAGAAGGTGGGAAGGGAGGGGCACTCAGGTGGAAAGTGAGCAGGGACGAAAGAGAAACATTAGAGGGAGGGAGTGGCTCAGGAGCTGCAGAGCAGGCACAGCCACTCTGTGTGGCCAAGTCTCTAATCAGGCCCTTGGTCCACATGGTCTCATTTAATCTGGACTGCACAACCAGGTGGACAACAAAATTCCAGAAGAAACGCAGGTCTTGGGGGAAAGACAGTGACTCCAGAGCCTTCTGCCTACCTCCAGTCTTAGAAACCCAACTAGATATTCCACATTGCTCTCAAACCCAACCCAACCAAAATCACTCTCATCCTTTCCTCCCAGAAGCCTAGCCTTCTTCCAGACTTTCCCATCTTGGAGTGTCAGCACTATTCACCCACTTCCTCATGGCAGAGGCTCAGGGGACATCCTCAACTCCTCCCGCACCCCCACATCCAGCCAGGGACTCACCTGGCAGTCATCTAAGTGGCTCTCAATTCTGTCCCCCGCCATCACTGCCATTGCTCTACCCCAAGCCATGTCACACTCCAAGTTAACCAGAGCCATGAAGCCCCCTCCTGGTCTCCAAGCCTCCTTCCTCCTCCAGCCCATCCATTCTTTCGGTTTTGCAGTTTCTAAAATTTTATTTTTAATTGACAATAGTTGTATGTCCTTATGGAATACACTGTGATGTTTTGATATATGTATGTATTGTGGAATGATTAAATCAATCTAATTAACATATCAATCACTTCACATACTTTTTTTTTTTTTGCATTGAGAACATTATCTTGGAGCACTCCTTTAAAAAACTTTATTGCTATAAAATATTTGTACACTTTTAT